CTTCTCCCCGGAGCGGACACACGGGCCTCGACGCCCCTCTGACCCCTGGGAAGTCTGTGCGAGATCAGTGTCCTGTGGGGAAATGAAGAGGGAAACTTTGTTTCTACCCGGCTCACCTCCGCCCCCAGCTGATTTTAGCAGTGGGCCAAAGATTGGCCAACACTTAGAGGCTGCAGAATCAGTATCCGGATTGCTGCTTCTCTCCCAGTTTTTCAGCTTCTATCCCAGGTTTTCAACAGAAGTCAGTTTTTCAAGCTCATCACTCAGGATGTGGAATTGCTCATCCCGAGCTTCCGTGCCAGAAGGGGAAAACCCAAACAAGCAATCAACACCAACAATGCACACCAATCACCTCTCATTTGTTTGCTCCATCTTTTTTTTAAATATAGCTTTCTGATTTAAAGGCCTCTTACACTGTTATTTTTTCGTTTCATCTTCCAACAATAGCTATAACGATGTTATTTTCCACTTTGCAGACTCAGCAGCGAGTAAAGAAAACAAAAACAGAAAACAACAACAACAACAAAACTCCAAAAGCTGTGTCTCGAATCCCTGGCCAGTTGGTGTTCCAGAAGCTCTGTGCCTCCCTGCCACACACCCCTGGACGCTGCATTTGTATTTCCCATTGTCTTGGGAGTTCCCTGCATGATTTTGTTTTAAAACTGCAATGGTCTGAGAGAGGACCCTGTCCGAACACACTGAGTCGTAGTGTTGGGAGGACATTACTATTTTAGAGGCTGTATTGAAGAACAAGCTCCTGGAGGCCAAACGTGACATCTGTGCAATTGTCCTGTCAAAATGCAAAAGGTCAAAGCAACATGGCATCTCACTCCAACCAAAAATGAAACGCCTTGTCCATGTCCCCCCACCCCAAGGAAACAATAGAATGTCGGGTCTCATCTTTTCCTAACTTCATGGCTGTTGCAATACGTGGTCAGTGGTGAGATCTTCCTTTTAGCCAGACACCGAGGACCTGGTGCCCTGTGAGGAGTCCACTGAGGAATTAAACCCCGGCCAGGCTGAGGTGCGGTTATTCGGGTTTACAAGGAGGAAACTTCGGTTTTTGCGGCTGGTTTTGTTGTTCACCTGCCTTTCCCCTTGGCTCCCAAGATGAAGGCGTGCGAGTGAGCCCTTGGCTGCTCGGTCAGTCCAGGGCAGAGGAGGCAGCAGCCCCAGGCCAGCCTTGCTCTGCCATTCTCACAGCAGAGCAAATGCCCTGGTCTGTGCAGCCAGGCGCCTGAAGGGCTGCAACAGGTGGCTGCCCCCGGGGCTGACTTCATCGCTCAGGCTCGGTCCACCTTGTCACCAGGCCCTGACTCCCTCTTGGGGGATGTTTCATGGGAACCCTCTCCTGGCTCTCTTTCAAAAGTTTTCTCCTGCTGCCTTTTGTCTTTGGTTGGAGAGTGGGGATGGGCTCCTTCTGGGACACATTAAGTAAAAGTATCCTTTGCTCTACTCTGTCCTGGGGAAAGGCAGGAGCATTTATTTGACAGAGCCTGGAAATCTTTCTTGGAGCCCTTGAACTTGAACTTGACTCCAGGTGAGGAAGGGGAGAGAGACAAGGGGTGAGCACGACGGTGCCGCGGGGAGAGCGCGCAGGCTGGCTCTTTGCTTCCCTAGTGCTGACTCCAGGCTATCAGTACAAATACATAGTCTCACACATTAGGGGCAAGTATATAGGTTTTAAAAATCCGGATTGTTTATACAGGTGCAGAACAAAGTCTTTAGAAAAGATTAATGGTGAGGAGAGCACGACGTTTCTCTAAACAGTCGCAAAAACTGTTGCCAGCCTCAATGCTAAGGGGGTCATTTCTTGAAGAAACTGCCTGACGCTAACAATTCGGGCTTATTATTTCATAGCATTTCCCTTGTCTTTCTTTTTCCTTCCCTCACCTCCCCCTCCCTTTACTTTCTTAAGAAAATAAGCTATTTTATTTTCATTTCTTTATTTTTCTTTCATTTTCTCTCTTTTTGCTAGTTATACTTTCTTTCATTTACTCTTTTTTTTCAAGTTTCAGATGTGTAACAAAGATTTAGAAATGTATCTTGTATGCATTTCACATTAATATGTAACTACAGTTTGCTTTATATGTTTGCAATATCTGACATTTGTCACCTCTTTCATGATTCTTTTACTTTTCTTTCTCCAGAGAGTTGAACCGTGTAAATATAAATATTTATTTTAAAAGCTATCTTTCTTTTTATTGTTTTGATTTACCACACATTATAAGTGAATAACAGAGCCTTGGATTTTGTATTTAAAAAACGCACCCAATCAAGCATAGTGGAACGTGCTTGCAATCCCAGATACTTGGGAGGCTAAAGCAGGAGGATGACACGTTCCAGTTAGCCTGGGTGCCTTAGTGAGACTCCGTCTAAAATAAAAAAAAACAGTAGATGGACCTCGAGACCGTAATGTTAAATGAAATAAGTCATCCACACAAGTTTACTATCCCATAGTCTCTCTTAGATGAAAAGCCAAAGTTATAAATAAAGAGAGAAATAAAAGACAGATAACAGGAAATAGGGAGATAGATCTTTCTCAAGTGAGAAGGGGACCAAGGGATGGGGTGAGGATGGAGGGGAAGGGAAAGGGATGAAAAGGGACTCAAGGTGGATTACACACAAGGACAAACTCAGCACAAGGAACGTAAACATTATATACTGAACATATGTACCAAGAAAATTAAAATAAAGAATACGGGAACCAATTTCTATTTGGTTATGCTTTAAAACCTTTAAATTCATAGCAGGTATATATTGCTGTTTGTCATATACATTAGGAACCCTTGGAATTCTTTAGCCATACACTGTAAATATGCAGTGGTGGGTAAGTGAGGGTGAAGTTACATAATGAAGCAAAAGTTAATATATTTGGTATAATACAAAAAGGTGCCCAATATATAAAAGTACTTAAAAATGAAGACTTTTAAAGGGACAAAACAGTCAGATGACAAATTACATACCACTGAAAAAGGGCCTCTCCCTTCCAACTCTAAAACAGCTATGGCTGAGGAAGTCTGGAGTGCTGGTGAGATGGACTAAGGAATCAAGGAGAGTAGGGGCTGCCTCAATTCTCCGCAAGGAGGAGCACGTGCTTATGAAACAGCTGTGGCAGTGCATGTGAGTGGGTAGTGAGTAGGTAGTGTTCCCAGGTAACATTGGTGTCCCTGCCAAAATCCTCTTGACCTGTACTTTCCCATTGACTGGAGGAATTTTCTCTGCTTTTGAACAGTTGTATGCCTTGATCTGAAAAAACAAAGCAGCTATTTCAGCACAGGCCAGCATGGAAGACATTAGCCATATAAAGTTTCTGAACACTTGAAACATGACTAGCCATGTACTTTCATGTAAAATGCACACATCCAGACATCCTATGAGTAAAAGAATGTGAACTTTCTCATGAATATATAAAATATTAAAATACATGTTAATCCTAACATTTTGGATAGATTCAGTTAAATGAAATATATTGTTAAATTAATTTCACATTTGAAATTATGTGCTTGCTAAACATTTAGAATTCCATATGTAGGTCCTGCTAGTGGATAATATGGGGATTAATCTTAAGGATTAACTATGGAACTACACATTGTGCCCCTCCTGTCTGCTTTTGGCAAGGTGTGCTGAATCTGAATCTCACCCTTAGAGGGCGCATTCTGAGGGAAACAACAGTAGTGTGGGCAGCCCACATTATATCATGTCTGCCTCCCTTCATCTGATCATCTAGTCTGTGTCTCCGTGGTACCTGACCTTGAGTAATCCTGCACATCTGAGCACAGAGAGATACTTCCGGTTGGCTTTCTACAGCTCTTTGTCAGAGAAACATTGACTGCCAGAGGCAAGGCTTGATTGCCCAGCCTGGATGCTCAGCTCTGAAGTGAGGCCTGGCTTCACGTCCCAGTCCTTGGGTCTTTTCACAGTAACACTGGGATTAAAGTACTATGCCCAGGACAGCAAGGTGATGATGGTTCCAGCCCATGTGATGGGCTGTTGTGCAGATAGTGTGGTGTGTGAGCCACTTGCAGGGTGCAGGATTAGGACTAGCTCTCCCCAGGCCCAGGAAGTTATCTACTCCTGTACTCAGTGTGAAACTCTGGGTCCCCCTGTAGGTCTAGGTCAACCTGGGGTTGCCAAGAATGTTGCCACTCTCTTGCCTGAAAAGGACGGACTTTCCTTCAGTAGACTGGCAGCTCTGTGGTCTGGCCCCTGATGGAAAAGTTGTCCTGGAGAGCAGGAGACACTTGTCACACCTGGAAGGACCTGTTCTCTACTGCTTTTATGCAAAAGAGAATTATTGGATAAGATTTTTATCCATTTCCTTCCTTTGTGCCTCTGCAGGGAGGTTAGTGTCCAGTAGCATCCATATTCTGGAGGCTGAAAGTAGATAGGAAAGCTAGGATGAATAATGAATACTGGAGCTGCAGCAGAGGAGGGAAAGTGATAATATTCAGTAGAAATTTGATTTTCTCTGCCATTTGAGATAGAAGAAGAAAGTCCTCTTTTAGGCAGCTAAAAATGTTGGTGACTTCATGTAAAAGATTTTTAAAGCATTATCTCTTAGATCTTAGAGATCCTCAAATCCCAAGTAGAATGTTATGCATCTCCTGTAAATGACTTTGACTACCTG